AGAAGAAAAAAAAAACAACACCCACTTTGAAACCCCTGCAGCTGGGGAAAGTGCTCTGGAGGTGTGATTATCCAGGGGCTGGACAATTTCCCTTTTACTTCTCCTAACATCCTTCCTTCTGCTGCAACTGGAACATTCCTGACGTTTTCCCAGAGTCCAGTAATTGGATTCGTCATTCTCCCCTGTTCCGCCCACAAAACGGCGTCTCGGAGTCTACGGTTTCAAATCACAGGTTTAGATTCCACTTTCCTATCTGGCGGTGGGGAAACCACAGGACACGGCCCGGGGAGGGGAGCCTCTCTCGCCAAAAGGCACCCAAGCAAGAGGGCGACACCAGGAGTTTCCTCTTCTGGTCCGACGTACGGTGCTGCCCCGAGCACTACAGCAGCTTCAGAAACACACAGATGAGCAGAAACCACTATGCCCCATGGAAGAACCCAACACTGCGTACTGGCCACCATAACGGAGCGAAAAGAACCACCGGGAGGAAATGACATCCATTTGTCCATTTGATAAGTAACCTGCAAGGGCACGGAAATGAAAAACACATTCCTGCTTATTGTTTCAGTGATTATTGGGGGAGTTCAGGAAAAGGCTCCCTGTCTCATCTCTCAAAGAGGTAAAGTAAAAGCAATACCTGCCTGCCAGATGAATGTTCCTCTGGTCAAACAGTGAAAAGTAATAAGTAAAAAATCCCATACTTTGTAAAAAAAAAAGGAAGGAAGGAATACACATAAATAAATATGTACAAGCACAAACACAATAATGAACAAAACATTTACCAGCTAATATGTTCTTTATTTCCAACTTCATGCTTTTTTAAATTGAATTTCTAAGTTTCTGCTCAGAACATGTAACCACAGCAATGGCAAACATTCTATCCAACCACTTGCACCATGTAAATAAGCCTCTTTGTAAAATGGGATGCACGCATATTATACACATTAGAGCTTCACATTTAAGCAGAGCAGTATCCAGTAGTCAATAACAGAAATCTGCAAAGGAAAAGTGTGAAAGGCATGTAACAGGCCATGGTCGTCACCTGATATGAATCCTGTAAGCAATTCCAAAGGCAGCTGTGATAGCATGAAACAAGCCAATAAGGAATAAACTCAATTCACTACTAAATGACACTGGGATAGAAATTTGAGGTATGAGCAAATCAGTAAGAATACTAAAATTAAAATAGACTGGTCACATCCATACATATGAGATACACACATACTGCATAAAGTGGGTATATAATGCTTTCAGTTGGTTGCTATACTTACATTGTATTCCCATACGATTCTAATTTAATCTACAAAATGTGCTTATGACCACAACTACACTGTTGATTTCTTTTAGATAATGAGACAATACAGACAAATTAGTATAAAATGCATACTTTTTTTTAGATTTAGAAAAACATGATCAGATTAAACTGGTAAAGACCATACACAAGGATAAAAAAATGAATTCATCTGCAAAACCGATTTTGCATTTAGAAATGTTTTAGAAAAGTCTTTGGCAGCGATTACTGAGGGAGAACATGAGTGCTATGCTGTCCCCCACCTTGAGCACTTGAGCTATGAATGCAGACCTGGACAGGGACATGTGTACATGGGCTGTAGGCGTGCACACATGTAGCACGTGTTGTGTGTGGCACGGACAGGCCCGTTACGGCAGAGAGCACAGAACACAGCACTGAGAATAAACCTCCCATAAAAAACAAACAAATCCTACTCCTGCCATGAAAATATCCATGCCTTTATTGAAATGACCTTGAGGAAATGAAACATGTCCCATTGATACTGCCATTCAAGGGAAGTGAGAAATATCAACGGATACAGTTTCTACAACAAACAGTTACAGACAGCAATAACTCTGGCTTTTATTTTCTACAAACTCTCAATGCTTCTGCACTGGAAATTAATTAAGTGCATCTGAATTAAATACAATTCAAATTCCTCTTAAAACATCATCTTTAAAATACTGTGCTCATATACATTATTTCATCATGCATTCTTAAAATATCTATTAAGGCACCGAAAATATTAATTGACTTTCCTTTTTTAAGCACATTTAGCACTTTTTAAAATAACTGTTATGCTTGCAAAAAGATTTGCGAACCCCGTGGTTGGGTGTTTTGTATTTATTTTGTCCCACCCCTATATTTTTCTAAAATTTAAAAGTTGGCCTTGTCACAAACCCAGTTTGGCCCAAAAAGGTTTGACAGGATTGAAAGCCAGGTGCTATAGCAGCAATGTTTCACCCAGTTCCTCCTCCTTTATTCGTACTAGAACATGATGAGAGCTTCTAGCATGGGAGAAACTGTTGTCAGTTTCCACCTTCTGAATAACACTCAACTAACTGTGATTACTAATTAGAACACAATCCCTAACCAGTTTCACAGAATCCTAAACATACTCCACATTAAATTCTTCGGATGGCTGTCCTACACCGTCTTCTCCCAAGTTAATCAAGTTGCACAATTAATCTGACGCACAGATTAATTACAGCAAACATGAGAAATCCTTTCCACTCTATTTCTTAAACTAGGGACAAAAATTCGGTTCTTGATGACAAATAAATATGACAGTTCTTGATAAATGTACATTTATCACACACACACACGAAAACTGAAGATTGCTTAAGCCAGCTGGAACAGGTTGTCATTCAAAGTAAAGTTATTTCAGCAGCTGCTGTAATTGTGGAGATCATTTTGAAAAGCTGTCAGTACCACACACAACTGTGTCAGATTGGTGGCACAGAAGAAAAACAGTGCGCATCAAAATGCTATTTCCTGTCACCGCTGTTGATTTTTAGCAAAATGCCTTACCTTCTTTATTCATGTTATGCACATATTCTCATAAACACCAACTGGAAAAATATTCAGTTTTTTTTTAAATCAGCCAATAAAAAGAAGCAATGAAAAATCTCTGAACATTCTCAGCTTAATTGCTGTAAATGCAGAGGTGGTTTATTCTAGGAATTTAAAGGTTTATCTGAAAAAAACATACTGCAAGCAAATGATCAATTACAAGGACACAGGCAAATGTTACTGTCAATCTGAGCTGTCAAGAGAAAACTACTGTCTCAAGCTTTACTGCTTGTGCTGACTCCTTGACAGCAAATCCTTCAGCCAGCCTTAACTCCACGATATCCCAAGCACTAGCTATTCTTGTTTCTCCTGACTTCAACATTGACTCTGCCTTCTTGCTTGTTACAGTGTCCTTTATTACTGCTCCTCACAAGCAAGAGCTTTCATTGGCTGCCAAAACCACTTTTCTCTGTTCTCCACCTTAAAGCAAAATTACAGTTCAATCCCCAAAGTGAACGATCAAGATGCAAACATCCATGCACATTAGCCACATAAAACCGACTTTGTAAGGAATAATTAAGTTAATTAAATTAAAAACTTTAATGCCAGTTCCAGTCTGCTTTTCTTGTCATGTTTTGAACATATTGTGTTCTCTGATAAAATAAATATGCAAGTGTGTTGGTTACTAGAAATCTGGACAAGTACGCACTGCTGCGTACAGATATTAGTGTTCAGCTCCCTTTGTAATATGGCCTGCAGTTTAAGTAACCCATGTGTCATATAGTGGAATATAAAACTGAACTGAGGGTCTCACACTGGTGCCGCGAGGGGGTATGGCTCAAGACCACAGTGTGCAGAGAGTTGCTCACTCAGTGGCAGCATGATGTTATGCTAACAACCAACTTTTTCATGGTAATATTGAGCGCTCACAGCCCTTAGAAAACATCTGAGAAAAGGAAAATTGAAAGACATTATCAAATCCTCACAAAGGAAGGGCAAGAACCTTTGAGTTTTTATGATATCCTCTTTCCTTACACTCAACCCCTTTATATGTTCCAAAATTCTGGTTCAACTTACGAACGACTCAAGTATTGGAAGGGCCTTTGGAACATAACCCGCTAGTAAGTTGAGAACCAAGTGCATTCTTAAAGCACTGACTGATGCCATCATGAGGACCTTCCACCTATATGTTCTACAAATACTTAAAAGTAGGATTATTTAGGATTAGACCACCAAGACTGTTTAAACCACTGACTGATTGCATTTGCATATCTTAATAAAATCATGAGAGAAGCAGTCTTTGAATATCGACAACAGGAGGTTAGAAAATAAAATACCCAGTGCTGCTAAACTGTGTGGAAATCTTACATGGTCCTTCTTTTAATGCGCAAAACTCAAAAGCATTTTTTCTTGGTGAATGTGCGGGGATCCTCTAGGCAGCCTCTCACTGTGAATTAAGATAATACGTCAATAAAACCCTTCCTCTGGGACAACATGCCTTATGAATCACTATGGGAATCTGCTATGAATCACAAGTGACTGAGAAACACATGGAATTTCTCCTGTATAATCGCCAAGAGAAAGTTGGTGAACCAGAGTGGAGAGACTCTGTTAACCGACGACTGCGGCTTTCCTTTGGGGTGACTCAGCAAATTAAAGAATTATGAAAACCAAACATATGGTCACACATACAGACACTAATCTTATGATGAGAATATTTTCCAAAAGAAAATGTCTTCTTGAATTTGAGTATTAAAAGGCCTTTCATTTGAAACTCTCTGATTTTGAGAAAGCAGTGACTCAGAGAGCCAAGAAGTGTCTGTACTATCACTTAGCCAGAGAGGAAAATGGGGAGACAAACAATAAAACCACTGAAAGAAAGGTAAAAGAAAAGGTAGGAGAGAACAGCAGCGTGAGATTGAGATTGAGATAACAGTACTGTGCAGGATGTTTGAAAACAAAACCTATCTTTTACGTCAAGTCATCTTTGCAACAGGACTGTTGGCCAACAACTTTTTGTTTAGAACATGCTCTGTAAGGTGCATTTTCAGAAAAGGATCCTGGGACCTACTGGGCTTCCGGGACACACAGAAGATAAAAACTGAAGTCCTTCCTGTGGCCCCACATGCCCTAACCAGTTTCATGGAGGACTGATGTCCATCACGTACTCTCCAAGAACTGAACTCAGGCCACTCACCCATCATTCGAGCACGTCAGAAACTCTTCTTTGACCTTGGGGTGCCAGCATCCACCATTGAGCATGGCTGTGTGTCCCTAAAAAACAGTTACACAGGGTAAGCTCTAGCTGAGCTTAGTCTAAAATCTGTGACGCCATTTTCATTGTGCTACATATGAAGCATAACTGCTTCTTCCTGAACTGAGACATTTAGAAATAATGCAATTTTTTTAAAAAAATTGTAGCATCTTTAATTTTAAGCTAAATTCTATGTTTAACATTAATTTGTTAGCACAGATTGTCTTATGTGACACTTAGTACAAAGCACTTTGAAATGGCGTTGTCCATTAAAAATAAAAATTGACCACAGTCAATTTTTAATGGTATCTTTTTTTAATTATTCCAATAAACCACCTTTTAATTTATACATTTCAAACAACCAGAGATGATTGCAATCAATTAGCATTCAGTGTGAAGGTCCCCAAGCCCCATTAATGGTTATCTTATCTTTAATTTAAGAGTAGCACATAACCCTGGAGAAATTTGCACAATTCAGGTCTGCATTGTTTGCTTCATTTCAGCACCAGGTAGCAAGTGTCTCTTGAAGGAGCCGAACAAAGTGTTCGTGGGGCAGGAGAGAAACTCGCACGCTCGCAGCTTTTTAATTGCTGCTGCTGAACCACGGACCATAACTTGGAGGAATGGGTCATGAGATCATCAATGGGGCTTCAAGTGCTTCCCTCTGTTAAAACAGCAGGGAAAAAATTTGCCATAACAAATAACAACTTCAAAGGCAGCTCCCCGGCGAGCCGCTCAACGGTCACGGCCTGCTGGTCGGGTACTCCGGAGAAGAATCCGATTCCAGGGATTTGGCTTTCAGCTGCACTGCTGCATGCCGACGGGCCTGAAGCTTTGTGGAGTCCACTTCCCATCTGGGTACCACTGCAGCTTCAGCCTCCCTTGCTGAACTGTTCCTGGGCAAAACTCTCCCTTCTTCATAAGCCTGCTTGCCTGGCTGTCCACAACAGGAGCTTAGTGCTCTGGCTAAGGGTCAAACCAACTGTCCATGCAGCTGCAGCTCTTTCCTAGCCAGATCAGCGAGAATACAGGGGATGGGATTCTACAGTGCTGCCCAACGTCTTGCTCAGAGAGAACCCAAGGCTTCAGCAGCCCTTGGGATAATAGCCTAGGAATGTACATTGTCATCTACTTGTCTGCTATTTGAACCCAGGTACATGGAGTCCAGGCAGCATGACACCTGCCTGGCTTTTTCAGGTGTCTGCTAAGCCCGACATGCAGAGACCCCTGAACTGGAAGTGTTCTCCCTGTTACTTATGGGTAGTCTGTGAAGTTAAACAAACTAAGTCAGCATTACCACTCCAATCACTGCTACAGGTAAGCCAGTCACAGATATTGTGGGGTTCAAAGTATGAAAAAAACAGACAGTTCTGGCAGCTTGCATTTGGTAGAAGAGCTCTAGCATTAAAAAGGAAAGTAACAGTGATTTAAAATAAAAATTCTGCTTAAGGTCATGGAGACTAAGCTATGGTATAAAATAAAAATGACCACGTCTGTAACAGACATCTAAAATTTCAGTTACAGTGCAGGAGAAAAAATAGCTAATGACTCCATTAAGCTATAACTGACACACAAAATAAAAAAAACGGAACGCCACATTTCAGAAAGCTCAATTATTAAAACATTTTTCTTATTATTAATCCTTCTCAAGCAAAGTCCTTTGGTAAACAGTGTGACTGCCCAATAAAAACAAGATGAGGTAAAAAATAGCATCATGACCCGCAGCATTTATTTGGGTTACCTTTCTGGATAATTGCTAGGCTTAATTAAACTAACTTTCCTGCAAATTGATGTAATTCAGCTGCAAACTGTGTCTTGGACCATTGATCTCAAGCTTCTTATAAAAACACGAGAGAACTCTGAAGCATGTTCTCCACCATCCCAAAGTTAGAGTTATCAATTTGTTTATTCATATAATTGAGCTAACCAAGCTAGGTTTTTTCTGAACAACCAGTTTAGATTTTAGTCCCAGCGCAACTTCAACGTTACCACAGAAAACCATGAACAAAAAATGTCAGAATGAATAAAAAAGGGCATGAACAGATGCTGAATCATTGACATTTCTTTACATCATGTGTTTCTGTAACACAGAACAAACTGCTCAGCCATTGTGTCTACTGACGCCCTGTATCAGTTTTGACAAAATAATGACCGTCAAAGTTCAGTTTTTTTTATATTAGCAGCATTTCTTTAACATGGACACATCTGTTTCTCAACAAAAGTTTTCTTTATCAGTTCTATTTTAAGCAGCATCAATTACATGCAGTTGCATAATGCATTTTTAATTTTAAATTAATCTCATTAAAAACAATTTAAATGAATTCAAAGTTCTTTCCCAGTTCTTTATTTGATCATTCATAATAAGAATTTCTTGCATCTAGCAGTTTTCAGCCAAAGGGATATCTTTTAACTTTCTTATAGGGAAAGGGGACTCACTTTCCTTCACCATTCAATTGCACCTGCTGATGTCCAGCAACCAATCTACACCAGCAGCACCACTGCACAGGTGCAAAAATGGCAAGTTACTTGGACTAAGGGGTAGCTTTAATCAGCCAGACCAGATAGTACAAGCTCTTAGTGTATTTAGTATTTAACCAGGTCACAAGGGGTTAACACTCCTACTCTTACAAAGAGTGCCATGGTATTGTTAATGACCAAATAGTCACGACCTTGTTATAATGTCTTATTAAGTTAGATCATTTCTAAGATCTTGCAATATAGTATATCCATAAATTAAGAACCCTCAAAGACCCAAATATGTTTTTCCTTAGTTTCTGATCATTTTTGAATTGTCACTTCATTCGAAAACTTGCAGCTGACCCAAATGTAGAAAAGTGCTGTTTTAGAAAATCAATATTTCTAAGGGGGTTGAATGGGGTTTTGAAAAGACCACTGACTTATTTGCAGAGGACACCTTTTAAAAGTATCCTAATAGTGGTGAAAAGGGGAACAGGATTCCAGTCATCTGTGAGTGCAAGCCACACTCAACTTAAGAATTCAGAAATGTATTCACCCACATAGCCTTCTCATATTTAAGTTGTATTTCCCCCTGAACAAAATCCAACTTCCAACACAAGTATGCAGTGTTCCACTGCTGTGATTTTTCAGACAGACTGGCTGGTAGCTACTGTGTTAGCAGAGCTCCTCTCAACATGCTGTCTTTAGCTTTACATGCAATGGCTCATCGGCAACAAACAATAACTGCAGCAGCCTGTTTTGGGTTGTTCGGCCTTGGTGATGGTCTTTTCACGTTGTTTTAATTTCGGTTGTCTGAGAGGCAGGAATGTTCTGCAACGTTTCTCAAGCCTGCCAGGGCTTTTCATGAATGTTTTTCTTTTTCTGCTATGAAACGGCACTGTAAAGAGTCAAGGCTGCTGATTCCAAGTGTCTGATCCTTTAGAAATGTAAACCTGTGCCCTTCAGGAGAAATGCTGGAGGATTCCTGAAATGGGCTTTTGCCCATTCCTCTGTACTACTTTCAACGAATACATGAGGAGGAAAGTTACACTCAGTCCCTATAGGGTCTGCTTTGCAGTTCTGGATGCTCCCTCAGTTGCAGGATACTGCCTTTTCTGGCCTGGATTTTGTTCCTCTACCTCCGACAAACACCTATCAACACCTGAGCCAGACAGTCTATGCCAACATCAGAGAAGCCCTCTATTCTTTTGCCTTTACTCCAAGACTGTTGTGTCCTGGAGAGTATCTAGCAGCCTGATCAATTTCATCAGGCTGTAAAATAATATGGTCTTATGTGCTTTGAATACATAGCCCATGGCTGACTACAACTGCAGTCACAGGTCAGGGGACTTGCATCTGCAGAACAAGCAGCAACACACCCTTTGGTAGCAGCTCTGAAATTACTATTGAAATGACTGGGACCTGGAATGACTGGATTGAGATCTGACAGCCTGCTGTGTGCAAGAACGAAGTACAGTGACAACTCTTCTCATTCTTTTAGTTAATGGGGGTATCCACACGTACACCTGAATCTGGGGGAATTGTGAACCTATATACGAGTTTGTGCATTTCCACACTGTGGTACATTATCAGTGACTTCAAATTGGGAAGAAAAAAAGTTAATTATCATTGTCCTGAACTTCACCTATAGCAAATAAGTCAGCCCTCTGCATCAGTATGTGCTCAGTGCACAAGGCTAGGTAATGGGATAATCATATGTTTGTGTGTTCTGCATTGTACCCAGTGTTTTTCAAAAGGTGCATTCTTTTGTAAGCACTGCTCATTATAAAATGCAGCAAAGCTCCTTTTCTGCCTCTGCATAACTTGATGCACAATTTTTAGAAAAAGAGAACAAACAAGGCTTGTAGGATCACAGGGAGTTTACCTTGGTGTTGGCCATGTCCACGATGTACTGGTCCCCCTTCATGCACTCCAGGACCTGGAAGCCATCTCTATCCAAGACCTTTGCCTGTGCATTCCCGGCTACCACTAGGAGGACATCTCCCGTGATGCTGTACTGCAGCGACCTGATCTGATGACTGAAAAAACAAGGACACAAATCCCCACAGTTAAACCTTAACCGACCATCAAGCGACAATTTCGTTCTAGTAAAACCCCAGCAGAACTAGCAGTTGTTAGCACCACATGAGCCTTTCCTCTGTTGCAACCGCTGCAGACGTGCTGTTACTGCACTAGTCCAAAAAGTACATCATGGAGGAAGACCAATGTCCTTTGGTCTTCCTCCATGACCATGACGTGATCCAAAAGGTACTGAGCAGATCTTTCACTCTACAGAAGACCACATACACTTATCCCTCTGTATTCCCACAGGAACTTCCACCCTACAGCAGATTTCATGAGAATAAGCCAAGAAATTAGAAGGTAAGCTTTACTCAATGTTCATGCAACCACTCATTTGTATTTTCCCGTTTCTACTTGATGAGCTTTTGGCAAAGATGTAAAGTTATTTACTGCAAAGTTAATTTCTCCTACACCAACAAGTAATGAAACAGAAATATTCTAATCAAGATTAACTTAAAGCTAATCAACAGTACTACTACCACATAACTGTGACAGTTTCTATTCCACATTTCTAAATCTACAGCTTTGCTCTTTGTTTTTTGCTAGCTAGTTGAGTTGTCTCACTATATTCTACTTGTATAACTTAAGCATGATAAATCAGCCTGTTGAAGAAAAGCATTATCAGTTTTCCTTTACATAAGCCACGGTGAACTGTTTAAGGCTGATCATAATACAGAAGGGCCACTATATTGTGTTGCAGTGCACTGTAATGTATTGAAGTGCAGTGTTACAGGCCTGCGTTAAGAAATGAGGCGTCTTCACAAACTGGTCTACCGCTTTACGCATCTGTCTGGTCAGCCTTCTTGAATAGCAGGAAAGGACAGCTCTGAGGGGAAAGAAGCCACCGCAATTGTCTTGTATTCGCCACAAACCTGCAGCACTGACGTGACAAGCACGCAGACATTGTTTGTACTGTGGCAAAAGCAGTTCGTATTTAAATATCATAAACTTGCCTTTTTTAGCTTAAATTGTAGGTTATGCAATTATGAAACAAGAAATAGACATAACCCTGAAATCGTCTCTGAACCAGCTAAATATGCTTTTCATGGTTCATAGCAAATGAGTAAGAACATTTAAGCACTCAACTTTCTCACCAATTTTGCTCCAAACATGAGATGCAAAATGTGAAGTGAAGATTGGATAGTTAATGGTTTGTTCTGCTGCCCGAGTCTGCTGGTAGCTCATCAATTCCAAAATCTTGCCCTGCCTTTAGCCCAAGAACTCATGCTCACAGTCCTTCTATGATATTTGTAGTTGAATAAGTAGCCCCTTTTGGACTGTCTGCAGGGATTTCTAGGAAAAACGCTTATATGAATAGCTCAATAAAAAAACCCTTATAATCACCACAGTATACACCTTTCAAACTGGAAATTAACCTGGCAGCTCCTTGAACTGTTTCTAGAGCACCTAAGCAGAGCACTAGAACACCTGCTTGAGCCACAAGACCTTGGCAAATCTCTGCAGGAGAACAGAAATACCTACAGCCTACTCAAACACTGCAGCATGAAGATGGAGGAAGAATTGACAACAGACTGAAGGCATCATGCTGTTGTTCCAGTGTCTGCACAGTGCAGTGCTACAGGAGCCCAAGCTTTTCAACAGTGTGATTGGCAGTGATGACTTGTAAGACTGTGATCTCCCCCGGACAATGAGAAATGTACATCTGAGCTTGGGTGTTCCAGCATCAGAGCCAGCTCTTCTGTTGACACTGGCCAAGAGAAGAGGAACAGATAAAATGCATGGCATTTCAGGAATTATGCACTTCTGAGTGTTGGATTATGGGATCTGAGCTCATATATAATGAAAGGAATCTGCCACGATTAAAAAACAGTTCTTAAAGAGTCATTTTTCATCCTGACACCAACTTCTCGGAAATTAAGTACTTGGATGTTTTGGCAGAGCTGAGATGGCAAGCAACATTGAAAGATGTCTTTTTGGGATGTGCTGGATTCTCAAGGATGAGTGACATTCACCTCATCTACATCTACTTAAAGGGATCTGTTAGGTTTCAACTTTAGAAATATGCTCCATCCCACACCTGATTGGCTAGGTGGAGCTGTGCTAACGGTTGCTTATAGAAAATTGGAGTTAACCATATACATACGGCTGCAGACATACGCCGTTCCACCCTCCATTTCCAGGAATGGGGTTGATAATATACTAGGTGTGGTCCTGGTTGTTAAACTGCTTATTTCATAAAATCATCTCTTCCACATTTACAGATACACATCTTAACAAGTGGTAACTAAAACTGTAAGGAAATTAAAAATAAAGGACGTGAATGCTTATCTCTTCATCTTTCTAGAGAAAACATGCATTTAGTGAAAGTAATCCTATATTGTATATCTGAAAGATAAACTGATTCTATGAGTCACAGCGTGCTTCTGTAAGAATTGAGTCTCAACTGCCTGAAAAGGTGCCCTCTTTGAACACACTTCCTTACATACCTTCTTGTGACTTTTGTTCTTCTGTCAAAATTCTCACTCCATGTGATTAATTTATTTAATATTGATGCGTTTCAATGAAATTAAACATGCAGCTCACAGGCTCCCTCCTCAAGGTGCTAGGAGTTAATTATTGTCAAACCAGGCAGGGAGACAACCAAGACAGCACTAGTAACTGGCACCATTATTACAACAATGACAAAACTGAGCCAGCACTAATTAATGGGAACGGATGACTTGTACCCTCCTGTCACTGGGCTAGGGATGAAAGTGGCCTGTAACCTCTGGTTTGCCCATTTCCCTAAATTCCATAGGGATATGAAAAGCTTTGAATTCCAGCACTTTTAATTAATTTTTGGAGCTATCCCACTAAGTTACACAATTGGCACGAGCATAAGCCATCAATAAAAAAAAATAACTGTTTCATCTGTGCTAGATGTTATTTTGTGCAAACAGAAACATGGGAAGTATTGGCACTCTTCATAGTCTCAATCACCGACATGAGATAGGCATCTTCAGAGACATCATATGAACCAACATATTTAAGACAAAAGATATGAATAGTTATTTTAGCAGCTTTATAGAACCAACAAACACATCGAAAAACATATAAGGATAGATCAAATGAATGTGTCAGGGGCCCACCAGCTCAGCAGTTAGGAACAGGCACTGGTTTGCTTCCTGCAATATCTGCAGGCTGGTATCCCACAGGAAACAACCATGTCACAGTCATTAACACATAAATATTACTTATAAAAACCGAGTTTCTGTCCTAGAAAATACAGAAAAAACAAAATTCATCACCAGAAATGGGCTTTGGATATCCCAAATCTTGGCTGTAAGGAAGTATGAGGATTTTTTTCCCCAAAACGCGACCTGGCTGTTCCCTTCCTACTGTATTGCTCCCACCTGCTAACAAGACCACCTGTGCGATCCTTTGTTTTGAACCAATGTTTACATTCAGAGGTATGTTTTCAGTCTTATCGCAAACCAACAGTATTTATATGTTTTATCATGGGAAAAATGATAAAACAGGGTTCAGAGAGTCATATAAAGGAGCTATACAGAAATTCAAACCCTGTTACATTAGAAAAGCTCCTCTATACAATGTGTGTAGTATCTTGACAGAGGTGGTCTTATACTTCAACAATCTAACTTTATCACTTGCAAACTGACAAGGGCAGTAAGAAGAAAATCGCCTTACTTTGGGAGAGTCACTTTGCTATAGCATGCTGGAGAGCACATCTGAACAGAAACATAGTAAAAGAAGAAAAAACAAAGCACTTTTCCCCCCCAGTTCAAACATTTAACTGAACCAGGAATCCTGCTGGGAAGTCTCCCCACAACACCTGTCTGTCTTTGAAGGAATCCCATGAACATCAATTTACCAGGTACTGAGAGCCTAAGTCATAGTGACCAAAAAGACACATACTATAGTTCTGATTGCAAAAAGCAAATCATTCACATCTGGTTGCATTTGGTTTTTGGGTAATCTCTCCCTTGCTATTAATCATAGAAATGTACTACCATACAGTGATGAACTGTGAGAAAACTCCCATTTCTAAAGGCTGAACAAGAGTTGGTTAGGGCTTCGTCTCTAAGGAATACTATCCTTGTCTCGATTTGAGATTCTGAATATTAATCAGACTGCAATAACAGTGTGCTATCGGTGGAATAATACTCAAAAGTTTTTTTAAATGCTTACCTATAGGGATATGCAAATGATAAAACAGAGGTGTTCATAGCACCTGCATGGCTACATTTAATTCAAAGGAAGCATCTTTCATTTCCTCCATAATTCTTGTACTCCTTTTTACACGTCATTTAATGCAAATCTGGTTTGGGTCCCACCAAGTCTTAAAGCACTCTGGGGAAAAGACAGGATAGAATTCCCACTCACTTCAGTCTCTGTCCCTTCCCTTCCTTATTCCTTCTTCGAGGAGCCTGGTTTCAGTGAAAGTCCTGGCACACAGAATTGAGGGTGGGAAAGAGAATTAACTCTAATTCACAAGGTGGGCTTCAGTCATCCCAGACTTTATAATGCTTTTGAGTTCTGCTATGACAGTGGGATTAACACTCCTGCTCTAACAAAAACTCACCATTGCATCCTCAACACCCACAATGCAGAAAGGACCTTGATGCAATGCATTACTGATGTCAACAAGGCAGCGGCATTTGCCCCTGTTGCCACAATGAGTGATGTCTGGGGATTAAAGTTAGCTACAGATGCACTGATTCATCTGCCAGCAGCAACCTGATTGTGGCTCAGATCTTTTCCCTCCATGCAGCAGAGCGAGACGTGATGGGGTACACCTTACCATTCGCAGGGCTGCAGCGATCTGAAAGCCTGGAGGGACGCATCCATGCCTGCAAAATCCCAGAACCTCACATCGTAGTCATATCCCCCTGTGACCAAGCGTGCACCGGATGGGTCCAGTCCCAGTGCAGAAACCTGCAGGATTAGAAAGTACCACCCTGAAAAAGCTGCCTCCAAAAACATGCCCCTTATATATCCACAAACAGATATGTTAGTTTACATCAGAGTAGTCACTGTTTTAGAAGAAAACTCAACTTGCCAGCATGCATAAAGTAAACCCCTTGGAATGCAACAATAGATCAAAATAACTTTCACAGGTTTAAGTAAAAGCAGTAAAGACTTATGAGCCTATTCCTTTTTTTAATTGGAAACAAATGCATGATAAAGAACTCTATGAAATGTTCCACCTTTGTGTCAAAAGAAATCTGAACAGCTGTAACAAAGCAAACTAGGCCAAGGCCTTGACTGCCTGCCGTTCAAAATGAACAATAAGCCTCAGATATAAGTTAGATTTAAGCACACAGAGAAAGAAGTGGATTTGAGCATTGCACAGGTTCAACAAACACAGTTAAGATCTTATGACCCAACATTTATAGTTAAATTCTAATTTGCTATGTCATGTCATTTGCCAAACCGCTTTATACCATATGGAATTTGCAAGGTTTAAACCCAAGAGGCACAAAACCCAAGTGTGCCAAGAGGAAAAATAATTTACTTCTCTGAATGTGATAAAGAATGAACATTGTGGTAATGGGGGAAAAGCAAACCCATTCTTTCAAGCTGTGCAAAACAAAATTCAAAGAACAAGTAAAAATAACAATGATTGAAGGCGTAGCCTGGTAGTGCGTTAATGGTTTGATCATGCTAGGAGTATTTTTTCCAAAGACGTCAGTGCATCATACAGTTCTGCCCAGAGAAAGTGGCTGAAACCCACACGGTGCTGATCAGTCCGTATAAAGTGTAGAAGCACAAAACACAGCCGACACGGACACTACAAGACATTCCTCTGTTTGGCTTTACGCTGGAAATTATTAGAGCATGGAATAAATTACCAAGCCACGGTTAAGAGGCAGGGGTCCTGGGTTCTTTCAAAACAAAGGCTGACAGTATTTTGAAAAATAAAAAGAAGTTAACAAATACGCCTGACGTCGAGTAAAGCAGAGCTTACAGAGGAAGCTGGCCGGCTATGATAGGCAGAACGGCCTGCTTTCATCATCATATTCATGTGCGCTTAAATTCCTTCCAAGTCTCAAACAGAACAAACAAGAACACCACAAACATAGCAAGCCTCCTTCGGTGTGCCCCTTTTCTATGAAAGTCCTTGAACCCTAATTACTGACGAAAGTGCTGGCAGGAATTTCCTGGAGTGCACAGGACTGGAGGAGCCTCAGATGGGGATATTGTATCCATCATTACTTGTGGGTCTGTGTGACTGGAGAAGAAATATTTTGAAGAAAACACAAAGCAGCGACCCCTTGGCAAGCTCCTGAATGCCTGGATTTTGTTTGGTTTTGCACATTGTCAGGACTGAATCCCTTTGACTCGGCTCCTGCAGCTCTCCTCTAAAGAATTCCAGTCTCATGAAAAAGTGCGACAGGCAGGACACTGTACTAAACACTGTAATGTTAGGATTGTCTAAGTAATAAGAGCGCCCATTCAAAAACGATTATTTCATTTGTTAAGAACCAGTTTCATACGACGGGGAGATGGGCAGGAATGTAAAACAATAAAGGTCACACATCAGAACTTTGCTATAGCT